GAGATGGGGTTTAACGTCCACTCGACACAAACTAGGTCATTTCGGGACTAACATATGGTTCAATTTCATTTCCATAATTCGCTTGCGCGTAGGGGTCTTTAGCAGTGGGAGGAAACCGGAGAACCCGGAGAAAACCCACGAAGTTGGACAGACGACCCTACTCCTTGTCACGTACAACCGGCCAATGAAACGGTCTGTGACGGTGAGCTTTCGGCGTGTTTTGCACGGAACTGTGGGTAATCCACTAGTAACATCAATGCTGATTGGTTAATCAAATGTCTGACGTCATAGGATCAAAAGTCAGTCTTTTGACCCCTGACGTGACCTATCGCTATAACTTGTCAGATGATCTTCATGTAAATGTGTAGGCCATCGAAAGTATAAAAAAAATGAAACGAAATATAGATCTGTATTTTAATCCCTCGTAGCACACTGTATGCCGCAAGAAATAGAAATTGAAATGGGGTTTAACATCCTACTGTTCTGCTCCGAACTGGGCTATAATGAAGACGGCATACAAAATGCAGTGTGCTACAAGGGATATTGTGCCCAGACAGTGGCACTACAACCTATTTTTATATCTAATTCAACTATCAAGGGATCTTTTAAGTACATGCCAATGTGTACACAGGACCTCGTTTTTTCCGTCCCATCCGAACGACTAGACAGCTGTACCTTACCAGACCCTCTGTCCGGCACCACTGATCCAACATCTTACTCACTAAGCTACTGTGGCACCTGTCTGAAGAAATTTTTGAATCTAGAGTTCCTTAAATGCCATTTTGTGGACTTTGCAGGCACGGATCCAGAGGGGAGGGTTGGGGGGTCCACCCCCCCCCCACCCCTGCTCAGCTACATAATTTATTTTGTAAAACAACCTTTTTTATGAGAAAAGTGTCATAATTGTGCTTTATCCTTTATCGTCAGATGGTGCCACAGGATGGGCACTCAAAGCGCGAGATAATGATATATAGACATATGTGATATCACAATTAATGCTTTGCATCAATGAAATTGAATCTCAGTGTCATCGTATTAATTCATAATAAAAATTGACGTCAAACAGGATGTTGGATTTCTCTGTTTAAAAAGATCAATGTGTATGTATATATGCCAAAATGACGATAGAGACCATGTATTTCTCAAAAAATTTCAAGCCGAGGAGTGGGGGGGGGGGATACATTTTCTCAGGAACCTGGCAAACCCCCTCCTGCAAAAATTCCTGGATCCGCCCCTGAGAAATTGGGTTTGGATTTGAGATATATGAAATAGCTTTCTCAATTGGAATATAACACAAGCTTTGTTTCTAGAGGCAATTAAGACTGTACTTTAAATTCGTCTGACTACATGAGAATGGGTGTGAAAATTCAACAATTTTAGGAAAGTAGCCTATATCACTTCCTTGTCTAGTCATGTATACAGGACTAGGCCTAAATAACAACAATATAACACCGATTATTCATCTCTGTCAGTCGGTGTATATATATACATGACATGCTGTATCGACCTGTCTGTCTATCTCGCTCACTTTCTTCACACACAACAAAACCAAAATGGAAAAGACAAATGAAGTGATTTTACTCACGGTTAACGCTGAATATTGTTGTTTTTCTATAAACTTATTCCTTGTTACATTTTGTCGGTCCGAAGTGAACGAGGAAGTGATACAATCTCATACATATCAGCTAAACGCACACCAATCATTTGACAGGCTTATTTTGACGAGATAGTCCTCTTGCTCTTTGTGACACAATACAACTTGTGTACAAGGGACATAACTCTGTTCGAAGTCTCGTTTAATGTTTGCGTGGGAATATTGTTATTGAACATTCATTCACGCACAGGTGAGCATAAACCGTGACACTCCTCAGCTCGGTGAATTAATCGAACTTCGATTGATTTGGTTTTGTCAATTATTAATTAGATTAGGCTTAACTAGCTGGGTGATTAATTATATTTGATTGGCCGACATCATTTATTTCATTTCCTTATAATTCATACTCATTCATAGAACTATAATAGCCTAAATAAATTATAAATAACAAATCCGATCGCTTTTATTAATTTTTTAACTGTGAACATCGGTTATTGAAATAATATACAATTCATGAATCAATAATCTGGATTGTGTCTTTGTCATACCAGACACCCCCCCCCCCACCAAAAACCTAGAGACCACAAACCCCAGCCTAAAAATAAAATAGAAAAAAAAAGTACTGGCATGCTATCAAGACTTCTTTTATTATCGTAACAACGTAACAACGGTAGTATGACCATCAAGGCTAGACTATATAATATAGGCCTATATAATTGTAAGTGAAGTAATTTGACAGAAATTTTAGCTGATTCTCTTTACATTATCTATTGTTTTTTAACTATTACAAGCAAGAATTGTCAGCTCTGTATCTAATCTTACCTATACTGGCCCTTTAAATATTTTGAACAGATGAAATCATTTTTTTATTCAAATTAACCAAATTTTTCTTCAACCTATACATAATTTTCTCTCTTTTTTTTTTTTAATACAGAAAACAATTTTTGTTAATATCTAAAAGGTCCATACTCTGAACTACCTAAAATACATGTATATCGGGAGTGGCGCAAAATTTCAACACTTCCATACAAACAAATAACCCGCAGATAAAGGGGTGTGTCTGGGAATTTGAGCAGCGGGTGGGTGGGGTGGGGGCCAAGATGGAGACACTGTCAAGATTAGCGTCAGGTCAGAGGGTGTACTATCTACTAAATTGATCAATTTTAATATTGCTGCTCATTTGGTATAGGTGCATGCCTGTATCGGATTACAGTGGAGTGAGTGAAAATGGCATTATTTCCTAGGATGTAGGAGAAAAAATTATACTCTGTGCCAGCAGGAGAAGGGGGAAAGGGGGGGGGGCCCTATTCTTATCTGGAGAGCATGCGCAATAAATACTGTTGGTGTAGACTGGAATAACCAGATTGCCATTAGATCGCGGAACATATAACTGATTAGAAATTACACTTCTTGGTGGCGGCAAATTATCCAAGTGCATACCAGAAACATTCAAATAGGAAATTACCGGCTTTTGCTTCCCCTAAACCTGTGTTAGAGTTTTTCGATCAAATGGAGAGGTGAAGGGGAAATAAACATAAAAAGTTTATATATAAGTTGATTTAATAAATAGTTATTTAAATAAAATGTTAAAAATATAAAAAATTGTATTTTAAAATTCCTTTAATCATAAAAACATCAACTGAGAGACCAGGCCCTAAACAAAGCAATTACAGTTTGTAGGGGAGGCGTCACTAAACTTTTGCCCAGGGGCGCCACATAGACTTGTGAAGGGGCTAAATCTATTTGTTAAGGCCAGCTCAATTTTTGTCAAGGTCATTGAGATGTAAATAAGGTTAGGGTACATGATTGTTGATGAGATTGCAGGTTAGGGTCAGGGTAAGCATTGGAGCTAGGTACAGGGTTAGGGTTGGGATTAGTGCTAGCCCAGTTGGTGAGATTGTAGGTTAGGGTTAAGGTAAGCATTGGAGCTAGATCCAGGGTTAGGTTTAGGGTTGGGATTAGCACTAGCCCTGTTTACATCTCGTAACCTATGACGGAAAATGTAGCTGGCATTATCATTTAGCACTAACTCTTGTGAAGGTCCTGACTGTGACACTATGTCTTCAACATTGACTGAAAAACAAACCTTGTTCTAACTATACAACGAGACCTGAAATGGTTTAAAAGGATCAGTTAAAGAGATAAATCCGTGAAGTGAGATGATCTTCCACCGGTAAAATATTTGAAGTGAGCTGAACTTTCACCTATTTCTGCTTGTTAATCTCAGCCATGTTTTAGCTGGTTAAATCTAAGACATATTTACACTTCTCTTCCTCGCATATTTTACTGACAAACACCGAGGGGGAATATTAACAGTGTTACAACTTTAAAAAACAGGGGCAAGACAACAATAAATTACAGATGACGATACAATAATATTATACAAATCCTACTGGTGAAGTTATCTTTATAAAATGACTTTTAAACAATTGGCTTAAAGTCCAGCAATATTTATATTCTGCCTTAGATTTGTTGGATATATTACTTTTTTAACAAAGAAAATGAAATGGTGTTTAACTGTTCTGCACTGACTGGGTTTATGAAGATGGACATACACCAGACAGTGTGCTATGAGGGGAATTTTGCCCTGATGGCGGCGCTAACATTTACACTTATTTTACTTCCAACTGTGTTAAGTGTTCTTTTACGTGCAAAATTGAAATGTAATGGGGTTTAAGGTCTTACTATTCTGCTAACGAAGATATTTTCTGGCGTGTCAGTGATGCAGGACGGAGGGCCTGACAAGGACAGCTGTGTAGTCGTTCGGATGAGACGAAAAACCGAGGTCCCGTGAACACATTGGCGTGCACGTAAAAGATCCCTTGACAGTTGGAATTCGATATAAGAGTGCTTCGTAGTGCCGCTGTCCGGGGAAAATCTCCCTCATAGCACACCACATGGCGTATGCCCGTCTTCATTAGCCCAGTTCAGAGCAGAACAGTAGGACGTTAAACCCCATTTCAATTCATTTCATTTCTAATGAAGATGGGCGTATTATTACGGTACGCCATGCTATGAGCTATCTCTGAGAGAAATCTTGCCTGGCCTTGGGCGCTGCGTTCGATGATTACAGCTGGCCCCCGGATCCATTTACTTGATTAATTGATTTTTGTCTATTTTCTATCTTGTAGCGTGGTTTAGTATAATGTGGTCATCCTGTACTTATTATTGAATTCCAACTGTCAAGGATTTGGAAAACCTTGTGTTTTTGGCCCACCCAAATGACTAGACTCTTTCTCCATTAACTCTTGGATCCGAACTCTGACCCCTGGTTATCGAGCCACATCGGCTCTCCTTATAGAATTGTTGTAGGCAACTGTCATTCAGTCACTGCGGCTACCTTTATTGGTTAATTGTCAAGGTGCTATGAATAATGAAATAATTTAAAACCAATAACTAGCCTAAATGAAAATATTTCTAATTATCTTTTATTAATACAATATCAAAAATATAACAAAACTAGATAAATTTATACAAATCACGGTGGTGCTATGACATCATGATGGTGGTGTTATGACATCATGATGAGCAATGAACAATATTCGGAGAACACTAGCACATATGACATCATATGAGAGGGTAAAAAACCGGCAGATTTTGTCAAAGTCTTGAGATGTAAACAGGGATAGCGCTAACCCTAACCCAAGCCTAACCCTTAGCCTAACTTACAATCCACCTATGACATTATATATGCAGGACTGTCTCTGATCTAGCGTTCTACATGATGGTGTGGCCCTTAGGTTTCAAACTTCCTTTTATTACAAACGAAGTAATAATTGGAGGAACAAAGAACCTTTAATTAATATTGGACACTAGAAGAAAAAAAAGGTTGCCAAGTTCCCTGCATTTGATGGGACCCCTTGGTTTCAGCCTAGTCAGCCTTTAGGATAATACGGCACTGACAATAATGATGATGATAAGATGATGATGTTTACAGTGAGGGATGATGACTATTACTACCGTTGTTGATGACTGGACACTAAAAATAGCATGGAATATATGAAAGACGTAAGTTGTGTATTATAAATATAATTCCTATAAAAACAAATACTGTACAGAAATAAACATTAATAACACTGTAAAATTGATACTTATGGACCAAGGTCTTTATGAAATGGGGGTTGGATGGTCGAATGGTTAGCACGTGCATGCTTTATCATAAGGCCTGTCATTGAGTCAACTGGCGTGGTTTCGAATCCCCGGTTGTACGTGGCAAGGAGTAGGGTCGCCTGTCCAACCTCGTGGGTTTTCTCTGGGTCCTACGCGCAAGCGAATTGTTGAAATAAAATTAAACCATATGTTAGTCCCAAAATTACCTAGTTTGTGTCAAGTGGACGTTAAACCCCATTTCTCTCTCTTTATGAAATGAGATGAAATGAAATGAAATGAAATGGAATGAGAGTAAACGTTATGTTATATAAACTATTAATTAGGCATTTATAAACAAAAGAAGACCATAATCAACTCTCGATTAATTTAAAAATGGGAAAGCGGGGCTAAGACTCGAATATACCAGTGCCCTGGTTACCACAATACACACATCTTGTCAAAATTAGAAACAGTGATAACTTGGCTGAGAATGAAGTAATTTGAATGAAATGTTCAATATTATATCATTTTTCATTATTTATTTTTTAGCTATTATAGCAAGAATGGTTAACTCTTTACCTAAATCTTACATAATGTAACTTTAATATAAAGATAAAATTTATTTTAGAAAATCAAAAAATTGGCCTACATTTACATTTCATCAGAGACATACAATGAAAAACAAATCTGGGACAACAAATTTCCAAATACAAATTTCCAAATACAAATTTCCAAATATAAATCTTGCATAACATTTCTCTAAAAATATTTCTCCAAAATAAAAAAAAATTGTTAAATACAAAGGAAGATGGCCGAATGATTAGCTTGTGCGCGCTGCATCAGCTGAGTCAGCTGGTTTGTGTCGAGTGGACATTAAACCCCATTTCTCTCTCCCTTGAGTCTGGATGGACTATTGCTCCTTAAATTAATTATATTATCTGTTGATTTAAGATATTTGTGAATCATTTCAGCCCCTGACGCACAATCACACATAAATCGATAATTTAACTATAAAACTACTATTGAATTTACAGATGAAAGAGGGCACGTGGCTTGTTTACCCCTTTGCACAGGCCATGTGGCTTGTTGACTGTGGTTTGCTGACCCCTTATCACAGGCCATGTGGCTGGCTGACCCTTATCACAGGCCATGTGGCTTGTTGACCCCTTATCACAGGCCATGTGGCTTGTTGACCCCTTATCACAGGCCATGATAAATTAAAGACCTACTCATAATTTGATATATACAGCAATTTTTTTAAAAGCTTAATATATGAATAATAATAAATAATAAAAAAAATTAATACTAGATTATTTTTTAAATATTCTAATTTGAAACCAAGGGTTTTTTATTAGGGAGATTGCTGGTTTGGTTGATATTAAAACTATCTGGATACAAATCAGCCTGTCATTCTATTTACAATTAAACTAACTACAATATGGTATTATCGATTTGGACCAGGCCTCTCACTTTAAAATTCAAATTCTTTCAATATATATTATTAAGGCATGTGATAAAGAAAAGAGAACCTTTATCGAAACATTGCCAGAAATAAAATTTTAAGTAACTTCTATTCCATATAATTGTGTCAACCATCAATCTGATTACAATACAGATCTATATTTCGTTTCGGTTTTTTTTTTATACTTTCGATGACCTACACTACATGAAGATCTGACCAGTTCTAGTGGAAGGTCGCATCAGAGGTCATATGAGTGGCTTTTGACCCTACGATGTCAGATATTTGATTAACCAATCAGCGTTGATGTTTTTAGTGGGTTACTCACAATTCTGTGCACCTCATGCCAAAAACTCGCCGTAACAGACTGTTTCATTGGCTAATCCCTCACATCAATTAGAACACGGGTTATATAACAACTGTTCCAGATCCTAGTGTAGTAAAGACAAGTAAAACGAAATTTTGAACTATAAAAAACGAAACGAAATAGGATCTGTGTTTTAATCAGTTTGGTCAATCGGTCAGCCAAAACTGATAAAGAGACTGTATGTAAACTGTGATAAAACTGATATAGAGAATACAACAATATTAAAATCTCAGTTTGTAACTTTTCTGTAACTTGTATTCTAAACATAATATATAAATAAATCTATCATACAATTTAACATCTGGGCCCTTATTCACAAAAACTTAAACTAAGTTACAACCGAAATTTTAAGAAATACTGCAACTTCATTGGATATATGCAAATTGATTTTACTGGTCAGCCAATGGAATTGCAGTATTTCTTAAAATTTCGATTGTATCTTAGTTTAAGTTTTCATGAATAAGGGCCCAGGTGATATTTACATATTTTAACAATGTATTTGTAACTAACACTTGAACCAGTTGTGTGACATGTATAAGAGAAGTTTATCTGATATCTGTCGATGGATCCTGGTAACCATTCTCTGTAGCATTCTCGTAATCAGAAAACAAATCAAACAGAAATTGAAATGTTGGTCGCTCTGCTGGTTTTTTCTTCCAACAGGATAACATAATATTATAATAATCTTGGGGGCATTCTAATGACATCTCATTTGTTTTTGGTTTCGGAAGTCTGTAGCCTTGTTCAACCTTAGTTAAAACCTCGTTACCACCCATGCCTACAAAAAAAACCAAAAAGAATTCTAAACCAGTTACATTAGTAAGCATCTCTCTCTCTCTCTCTCTCTCTCTCTCTCTCTCTCTCTCTCTCTCCCTTCCTTCCTTCCTTCCTTCCTTCCTCTTCTTCCCCTCTCTCTTCCTCCCCCCTCTCTTCCTTCCTTCCTTCCTCCCTCTCTCTCTTCCTTCCTGCCCCCCAATACCTTTCAACTCTCTCTTTTCCTTCCTTTCCCTTCTCCACCCCTCCATCCCCCTCCCCCCTCTCTCTTCCTCCCCCCTCCTGTGGATTTATTGTTTTCAAGAAGGTCAGATAGAAAGGGTAGAGTCAATGTATTTATGTATTTAAAGATAACAGTAGTTTGTATTCTATTCTATTTGCTACCACTGACAACATCTCCATGATTAGAGTCAAATACTCTGCTGTTCGATAGCCTCTACTACATGAAGATCTGACCAGTTGTAGTGGAAGGTCGCGTCAGAGGTCATATGAGAGGCCTTTGACCCTATAACATCAGACATTTGATTAACCAATCAGCGTTGCTGTTTCTAGTGGGTTACCCACAGTTCCGTGCACCTTACGCCAAAACCTCGCCATAACAGACCGTTTCATCGGCTAATCCCTCACATCATTCAGAACGTGGGTTATATAACAAGTCTTCCAGATCCTTGTGTAGTAAAGACAGGCAAAACAAAATTATGAACTATAAAATAAAAACGAAACGAAATAGGATCTGTGTTTTAATCAGATTGTGATTTGATGTGCTGATTGTGATGGTGATAACTTACCTATATATAGCTGGCGACCAAAAGTGATTAATTCATACAATAGTATACCAAATGACCAGACATCTGATTTGACGCTAAACTGACGGTATAAACCTGCTTCCGGCGCCGTCCATTTGATTGGAAACTTTGTATCTGAAAAACATATATAATAAAGCTACATGTTGTCAAGCTCCATATTAACTTGTCGGGGTTAATATGTCTTCAAGGACGACCAAGAAATTCTCTATTTCTCAGATAGCACCAACCAAAAAAGGTGAAGTCCTGTCTAAATATTTGTGAAAAGAAATGAAATGGAGTTTAACGTCCTACTGTTCTGCTCCAACTGGGCTAATGAGGGAAATTTTGCCCGGGCTGTGGCACTATGATCTACTCATATTGAATTCCAACTTCCAAGGGATCTTTTACGTGCAGGCCAATGTAAACACATGACCTCAGTTTTTCATCCCATCCGAACGACTAGACAACTGTTCTTGTCAGACCCTCCTTCCTGCACCACTGACAAGGGGAAACCACATCGGAAAATCCTGATGAACTTTCTCTGCGGACGCAGGGATCGAACACACAACCTCCAGGCCCCACGTAATTGTAATGATTATATTTAAAAAGTAATGAAATTCATCTCCTGTGATTAACTTTTTAAACTTACTTTCAGAAGCCGAGTATATGGCATTGTCCTCTATTAATCGAGCCAAACCAAAATCGGCTACTTTTACTTCAAGGTTTTTGCCTACCAATATATTATCAGCTCTTAAATCACGATGAATAAAACTCTTCAATTCTAAAAACGCCATTCCTTCAGCAATCTAAAAACATAATTCTCACATATCAAATAAAGCAACATTTCCCTACATAAGTAGAGAAGAAACCCCTATAACCAGAGAAGATAGACGAACTTCTAGGTAATGATAAGTAAATTTATTGGTAGGCATTTCGGACTAAAGGTGTCTACCAATAAATTTGTTTATCACTACCTAGGAGTTCGTCTATCGTCTCTGGTTATAGGGGTTGCTTCTCTACTTATTTTATCTTTTTCCTGAATCCCTTGTGTATCGCTGAGATCCCAGTTTAGATGTCCTCGTACTACTAGTCTCCAGCTATTTTAGACCTACTTTACAAGAGTTGTTGTCATCTTCTACTGCTTATTGTCCTACATATATGAATGTCACTCCTTCAAATTGTCAAATCAAATCCTAGATTAAATATATTATTGATTATGAAGAAGATCACATCTCAAATAATTCTATTCATCATTATAATAAACTTGTAAAAGGAAAGATAAATTAGCTGTAGGCTTATCGCGCCCAGAACCACCATGGCGCCCACATCTAGACTGTCTCGAAACCTGGTACCACCATGACTCCCACATCTAGACTCAAATCGCGCCCAGAACCACCATGGTTCCCACATCTAGACTGTCAAATCGAACCCGGAACCACCATTGCTCCCACATCTAGACTGTCAAATCGAGCCCGAATCACCATGGCTCCCACATCTAGACTGTCAAACCAAGCTCGGAACCACCATGGCTCCCACATCTAGACTGTCAAATCGAGCCCAGAACCACCATGGCTCCCACATCTAGACTGTCAAATCGAGCCCAGAACCACCATGGCTCCCACATCTAGACGGTCTAATCGCGCCCGGAACCACCATGGCTCTCACATCTAGACGGTCTAATCGAGCAAAACAACCAGTTTGTTTTATTTACCAACCTACAAGTTATCCACAGACTAAGCGGAAGCCCTGATCTAATATAATTTGAACAATAAAATAAACAGAAAAGAATGGTCTCATCTCTCTCCCTCATCTCTCTCCCTCTCTCATATGTTAAATTTCATGATATTTTATTGTCTTGTTTTGTATTTTAATATATTATGTACCCTGTATGTGGGTCTTATACTGTCGAGTTATGTGATTTTATACTTTGTACGTTTTGTTACATAGTTTTATATATCTGAATCATGTAGGCAGGTTTTATACTGTCTATTTATATTAGTGCTCTGAATTTATGTCCATCCATATTTTTGTACCTGTCCAAATTTTGTTTACTTGTATTTAATACTTTGTATATTGTATGCTGTCCTCAAAGGACGTTTCGATGCAATAAAATTCTATTCAATTGTATTGTATTGTATTGTATTGTATTGTATTTAACCTACCTGTGATGCCATATCTATAATAGCTGAGAACTGTAACCTTTTTCCTTCGTCACTTCGTAAATAATGTAAGAGAGAACCATTAGGCATAAACTCGGTGACGATCAATAGAGGATCGGAATCGGAACAAACGGCTAAAATGTTTACTAATCTACGATGAAACAACCGATGCATCACTTTAGCTTCTTCCAGAAAACTTTCACTTGACATGGTACCTGTTTTTAGGGTTTTTACAGCGACGGTTATAGCATTTCTAAATTGGCCTAAAATAATAAAATAAATGAAATATAAGGCAATCTGATTAAAATCTATATTTTGTTTTGTTTTTTTCTACTTTCAATGGCCTAAACTACATGAAGATATGACCAGTTGTAGTGGTAGGTCAGGTCAGGGTCATCCAAGTGGCTTTTGACCCCATGACGTCAGACATATGTACCTTGCACCAAAAACTTGTTGTAATAGACCGTTTCATTGACTAATCCCTCACATCATCCATGACGCAGGTTATATAACAACAAGATTCAGGTCATAAGGCCTGTCATTGAGTCAAGTGGCGAGGTTTCGTTCCCCGGTTGTACTTGACAAGGAGCAGGGTCGCCTGCCCAACCTCGTGGGTTTTCGCCAGTGAATTATTGAAATAAAATCAAACAATATGTTAGTCCCGAAATGACCTAGTTTGTGTTGTTCTAGATCTCTACAGTTCTCAGCTCTCTTTAAAACCCCATCTCTCTCTCTCTCTCTCTCTCTCTCTCTCTCTCTCTCTCTCTCTATTTTCCATAGGATAAAATATGTCCATACCTTTCCAAACTTCACCAAAATACCCAGCTCCAACTTTATTTTCTAATTTAATGGCACTTCGTTTAACTTCAAGTTGTCTGAATGGTAAACAAGCTGGTCTGTCTTTAGGACAAGGATCAGTTAATAAACAACATAAACCGTCTGAATTTGCTAAAAATTAAAGTTAAAAGATATATTATTACTTCTAGCAACACAAACCATCTACAAGTTAAAGTGAAATGAAATGAAATGGGGTTTAAGGTTTTACTGTTCTGTTCCGACTAGGCTAATGAAGATGGGTAAACACCATACAGTGTGCTATGAGGGAAACTTTGCTCGGGCAGCATCACTATCGCCTACTCTTTAGCGAATTCCAACTGTCAAGGGATCTACTAATGTATATACGAGACCTCGGATTTTCGTTTCATCCGAATGACGAGAAAGCTGTCCTTGTCAGGCCCTCCGTCCTGCACCACCGACAAGGGGAAACCACGTTGGAAAATCCCACAAGTTAAAGTAGCTAAGTCTCTAACTCAATATCATCCAAAGTCTTCGACATTGAAAACACGAATTATTTGTCAATTTAAATCAACATTGATGTTTTGATCTTACCAGGAAAAGATGGGCTTCTGATATCCAATATTAAGACAAAATAAACATTTTACCACTGATACACAAATCGAGTAACAAGGGACTCGAAGAACGAGGCTAGACATATTCCACAAGTCATTTAAAACGGTGATGCCATATTTTTATCTGGAGAGCATGTGCAATAAATACTATCGTTGTAGACTGGAATAACCAGAAGCTAGAGATTGCCATTCGAATGAGACTTCTGGTGTATTTCACCGAACATAACTGATTTGAAATTAGAGTAAAAATGGAAACGACTGAATGTAAATTAGTTTATATACATTCAAATTACATTATTATATGCGTTGTGACCCATTTGTGTCAATTTCTAGGTCCGAAATATTAGTGATTTTGCATAACTCTTACATTGTTGTTGAAAATCAAAAGTGTATTTGCTTTAAACAATATTTTATTTCGAATAGGGAGCCATGGTGGCTAAGTGGGTAAGACGCTTGCTCGCTAGCCTGGAGGTTGTGGGTTCGATCCCTGGATTGGCCGAGAAAGTACATTATGATTTTCAAACGAGGTTTACCCCTTGTCAGTGGTGCAGGACAGAGTGCCTGACAAGGACAGCTGTCTAGTCGTTCGGATGGGATAAAAAACCCAGGTCCTGTGTATGCATGTAAAAGATCCCTTGGCAGTTGGAATTCGATATAAGAGTAGGCTATAGTGTCGCTGTCCGGGAAAATTTTCGTCATAGCACAGTGTATGGCGTAGGAAGTTAAACCCCTTTTCATTTTATTTCATTTCTGATTCTGAATCTACCAATGAATCATGTTTTCCATCCCCCAGCCCCATCTTCCAGCAGTTACCTCCCGTAATTATAAATTTGGACAATACATTAGTATATCTCTGACCAGATTCCCTGCATCAAAGAGGGGGGTTGGATGGCCGAATGATTAGCACGTGCGCGTTGTATCATAAAGCCTGTCGTTGAGTCAACTGGTGTGGTTTCGAATCCCCGGTTGTACGTGACAAGGAGTACGGTCGCCTGTTCAATCTCGTGGGTTTTCTCCGGGTCCTCCGGTTTCCTCCCACTGCTAAAGACCCCTACGCGCAAGCGAATTATTGAAATAAAATTGAACCATATGTTAGTCATGAAATGACCTAGTTTGTATCGAGTGGACGTTAAACCCCATTTCTTTCCCTCTCTCCCGCATAAAAGCCTATGATGAATTCACCTCCACTGGAATTAACCCTAAATATAAACACACCAACGCTATTCAAGTATTACTTACATTGGTAATTTTCAATGAGCTCCATCATTGAGTTAAAAGTACGTTTTGGACTTATATAACACCCTCCATTATCCATCTTTTTTATTCTGTAATGTTTGTTACACGGTTCTCCTTCATCATCTTCATCACGGACCGATAAAACATGGGATAATCTATCTAAAACATAAAACACATGGGATAATATATTTAAAATTCATGGGACCATGGGTCAGGAGGTGGTGGGATTAGATGAAACAGGAGATGATGGGATCAGATAAAACAGGAGATGATGGGGTCAAATGAAACAGGAGATGGTAGGATCAGATGACACAGAAGATGGTGGGATTAGATGAAACAGGAGATGGTGGGATCAAATGAAACAGGAGATGGTAGGATCAGATGAAACAGGAGATGGTGGGATTAGATGAAACAGGAGATGATGGGGTCAAATGAAACAGGAGATGGTAGGATCAGATGAAACAGGAGATGGTGGGATTAGATGAAACAGGAGATGGTGGGATCAAATGAAACAGGAGATGGTGGGATTAGATGAAACAGGAGATGGTGGGATTAGATGAATGTTGGAATGCAATTGTGTATTAGTTCTTGAATGTATGAAGGGGATGAATCGATGACAAATTTAAACACTATAGTAACCTATATTCAATGTGCAATTTGACAGGGAGCCACCTTGCAGTCTTTGTGTCATGCTGACAACCACCTTGTACTAGTGATATTGGTAACGTGTTATATAACACTAGTGGGACCATGCTGACAATCACTTTGTACTTGTGATACTGGTAACGTGTTATATAACACTAGTGGGACCATGCTGACAATCACTTTGTACTAGTGATACTGGTAACGTGTTATATAACACTAGTGGGACCATGCTGACAATCACTTTGTACTAGTGATACTGGTAACGTGAGATACAACACTAGTGGGACCATGTTGACAACCACCTTGTTCTAGTGATACTGGTAACGTGTTATATAACACTAGTGGGACCATGTTGACAATCACCTTGTACTAGTGATATTGGTAACCTGTTATACAACACTAGTGGGACCATGTTGACAACCACCTTGTTCTAGTGATACTGGTAACGTGTTATATAACACTAGTGGGACCATGTTGACAATCACCTTGTACTAGTGATACTGGTAACGTGTTATACAACACTAGTGGGACCATGTTGACAACCACCTTGTACTAGTGATACTGGTAACGTGAGATACAACACTAGTGGGACCATGTTGACAATCACCTTGTACTAGTGATACTGGTAACGTGTTATACAACACTAGTGGGACCATGTTGACAACCACCTTGTACTAGTGATACTGGTAGCGTGAGATACAACACTAGTGGGACCATGTTGACAATCACCTTGTACTAGTGATACTGGTAACGTGTTATATAACACTAGTGGGACCATGTTGACAACCACCTTGTACTAGTGATATTGACAACTAGTGGGACCATGTTGACAACCACCTTGTACTAGTGATATTGACAACTAGTGGGACCATGTTGACAACCACCTTGTACTAGTGATATTGGTAACTAGTGGGACCATGTTGACAACCACCTTGTACTAGTGATATTTACAACTAGTGGGACCATGTTGACAACCACCTTGTACTAGTGATATTGACAACTAGAGATCTGAGTTTATTATGTATTTACCTGTAGCATAGCGGACTAAAAATGTTCCTTTTTTAAGACCAACCCGCATCAACATTCCATCCGACTCTCTTCTATTAAAATCATACCACCAACTAAAATATCAGATAGTTGTACAAATTCTATTGGATAAACTCAACAAAATACGAGAAATATTCCTTTCAAATAATTTCAACCACCGTACTGGTTGTTTGAGATTAAGTCTCGCTCCTCCATTTTTAGCTTAAATCAAAATATGGCTGAACTGTTCTAATCTATTTAATATCGGAGAAATCTGATGCCATCGAGAGTTGATTATGGCTTGGATAAGTTAATTATTGTCTAGATAACATTTTAGGCCTAAAGAAAGACCTGCAATAGGCAGATTAAATCTCTCCCAAATTATACCAGTATAATAACCTTAATTACCGGTATACTTACTCGTCGTCTGTCTGTCTCAAATTATTTACCCCTATGACCAATAATTAATCTTTCCCATGTTAATTACTGCCAATCATCAGTGGCCTCACTAATCCTTCATCTTGCCTTTGATCATGTTATACAGGTGACAGTTCATCAGGATTTTCCGACGTGGTTTCCCCTTGTCAGTGGAGGGCCTGGCAAGGACAGCTGTCTAGTCCTTCGGATGAGACGAAAAACCGAGGTCCCGTGTACATTGGAATACACGTTAAAGATCCCTTGGCAGTTGGAATTCGGTATAAGAGTAGGCGATAGTGCCGCTGCCCGGGCAAAATTTCCCTCATAGCACACTGTATGGCGTATGCCTGTCTTCATTAGCCCAGTATAGGAGCAGAACAGTAGGACGTTACACCCCATTTCATTTCATTTCATTTATACAGGTGACAATTCTATGGAATACAATTACTGCTTATTACTGAGCGACGTTTCAACTCGGCTTCTCTAATCATTATCAAGCTATGATAAGCAGTATTTGTATTCCATAGCATTGTGACCAGTATACTCCGGTTCAATTACTAAATGCCATTGAAACAATTTGATCATGTTGATGTCTTGTCTTTGATCATGTTGTTGTGGTGCAAGGTTCCTGATTTGTTGTTATTGCTTGTCAATATATAATTACTCTACACATTAATTGTTTCAGTACTTTCTTGAAAACAGTGAGAGAATACTCTTCAAAACGTGGCCTAAATGAATCAGTAATTGTTATAGTTTATTGGTATACTTACTCTTGACTCTCTATAGAATTATCATCATTACAAACATAATTACTGGGAATGTAGCCTTTCTTGTTAGTTTTCATATGAGTTGCTAATAACCAATCCGAGGGTTCACTGTAATATAAAATATTTTATAGAAATTAATTCACACAACATTTAAAAGCATACTATGGACCAGGAAGCGAGTAGAACGTCATTGCAGCCATCTCAGAACAGAGTAGAAAGCCGTCATCACAGCCATCTTGGAACCGAGAAGAATGATGTCATCGCAGCCATCTTGGAACAGAGTAGAACACCGTCGTCGCAGCAATCTTGCAACCAAGTAGAATGATGTCGTCGCACCCATCTTGCAACCGAGCAGAATGATGTCATCGCACCCATCTTGCAACCGAGAAGAATACTGGGCGGTTGAGGAAATCGATCACTGTAAGGTATCATTTAATCTTGTGTATTTACCACTAATTTCTTTCACATTCATTTAATATCAAATTTTTGTTTAAAAATTCGCAACAATCATTTAAAATCACCATAAATCATCTAATTTGTTCTCGTGTCCAGTTTAAAGCTGACCCTTCAATTTTGATCAAGTGTTCAATTTACAAGTGTTTAATTTCCTGATTACTGTTGAAAAATAAACAACCCAATTGATTATTGATGTATAATGATTCATTTTTAAACAGTTGTCAGGAAATTAAATACTTGTAAATTGGAAACACATTCATTATCAAAATTAATCAGTCAGCTTACAGTGGATATAGCAAGTACCGTAAAATCACCCAACCCATCAACAAGGTTAGTGCTAAATGATAAGGCCAGATCAATTTTTCGTCATAAGTCACCAGATGTAAACAGGGCTAGCGCTAATCCAAACCCTAACCCAAATCTACAATCTTGTCAACCTTATATACATCTCAACAGCCTTGACAAAAATTGAGCTGGCCTTAACAAATAGATTTAACCCATCAACATCCAGTTGCTTTTGTTTATCTTACCCATCATCTTTTTCAAGTGCAAGTCGGTCACCTTTTTTAAATGGCAAATCATCTGTATTCATACCCTTAAAATCATATAATGCTCGTACGATCTTTTTATCTGTAAAATATTTATAATCATACAAAGCTGTTAGAATCCCACTGAATCTCTATAATAACATGTATAAGCATACTATGGACCCGGAATCATGTGATTTTATCGCAGTCATCTTGGAAACAATGTCCTTCAATGGATGTAAAATTGTCCACGGACAATTGAATTGGCGAGCCTTTGGCTTTTATTCGAGAGGCGTTACCTCTCGAGAACAGTTCCTGCCCCTCGAGAACAGTTCCTGCCCCTCGTGAATAGTTCCTGGCGTTACCTCTCGAGAACAGTTCCTGCCCCTCATGCATAGTTCCTGGCGCTGCCCCCCTAGAACAGTTTCTGATCCAGAAGAGACAACTAAGAACATTACAATGCCTAATCTTGGTATAAGAACGAGACGGCCTGCAAAAGTGTCAATCAACACTTCCACCGCTGTGCCCAAATCCCCCGTTATTGGTGATATAAAGTAGACGTGGCTCTCATTACAGCTGTAATCACATTAAAACACACTTTCATTCAAAGACATGTGGTCTATGAGTTTTCCAGTATAAGGTGGGACCAGGGACTTAACTAGCTCAGGGCAACGAAGCGAGCAGGAAGTGTTCTCAGGGGGTGCTGTACAATTGACGGACAATGTATATCTATTGTTTTTATGTTCAACAATTTTTTCACGGGGGGAGGGGGGGGGAACATTTTCCGGTGGGGGGGGGGGCTGGTTACGGGCCTGGGTCACCCTGGGTGGGACACAGGGGATAAAGTGAAAGTTCTTGCACCCCCTAGAGTTTTTGCGCCCCTCGCAAATGGCAAAAAATCATGTGGTTTCAATGCGGTTTTCAACATTATAATCATAATCATAATGCCCCACGAGTGTCAAACATATACCGTGGGTCAGATATACTACAAATCAACTCTACCATGTTCCACACATATACCATGGGTCAGATATACTACAAATCAACTCTAGCATGTTACACACAGTCCAATATTACTCGGCAGCACTGAGAGGGGGCCTCCCCCTTCCCCGCACACACATATAAATATTGTTTTTTCGGGGGGCCCGGACGGGAGTTTGTTCCTCATGCACGCCCCACGGGTCAACGTAATCTCAAGAATTTGAGATCCTTGGCTGTATAGCACGGACGTAAATATGTGGTGTACTGTGGGATTGTTGGTATATCTAGAGTTGGTGTATCTAGAGTTGGTATATCTAGAGTTGCCTAGATTATTCTGTGAAGGATTAATTCTACTCTCTGAAAAACATTGAGGAAGTCTAAACACAACAATTCAGAAATGGAATATATTAATAATATTGAAGTCAACCCGGGCTAGATTTAGCTTCAACAAGTGTTCTATAACATCCCACAATACAAACCTTCTGGAGGTACTGGCGGTAATGTTCTCTTCTTTTTCACACTACCTCCATCACCATTAGCAGTACTAGAAGTAGGAGGAGGACTATTAGTGGCATAGGCAGCACCAATATTCCGAATAGATTGAATACACCCCATGCTGAAACACCACATAAACAAACTTATTTAAAATTATACCAACATTAGTTTTCACATGTTTACCTGGGGGGGGGGGGGGGGGCGAATGGTTAGCACGTGCGCGCTGTATCATAAGGCCTGTCATTGAGTCTACTGGCGTGGTTACGATTCCCCAGTTGTACGTGACAAGGAGTAGGGTCACCTGTCCAACCTCGTGGGTTTTCCCTGGGTCCTCCGGTTTCCTCCCACTGCTAAAGACCCCTATGTGCAAGCGAATTATTGAAATTAAATTAAACTATATGTTAGTCCCGAAATGACCTAGTTTGTGTCGAGTGGACATTAAAACCTCTCTCTCTCTCTCTCTCTCTCTCTCTCTCACAGGTTTACCCAACTTCATTAGGGTGAGCAAAATCAAAAACATACAATATTCAGTATTAAACTCGGGGGTTTTACGTGTGCGCTTTAGATCATAAGGTCTGTCATTGAATCAAGTGACATGGTTTCGATTGCCTGCTTGAGCTGACAAGTGGTAGGGCCGCATACCTGTGTGTGTTTTCTCCGGGTCTTCCGGGTTTCCTCCCATTGCTTAAGATCCCTACATGCAGATCTCTCTCTCTCTCTCCCCTCTCTCTCTTTCCCTCTCTCTCTCTGTCTCTCTCTCTCTCTCTCTCCCCTCTCTCTCTTTCCCTCTCTCTCTCTCTCTCTCTCTCTCTCTCTCTCTCTCTCTCTCTCTCCCCCCTCTCTATCTCTCTACCCCTCTCTCTCATCATTAAATTTTTTGATTACTTCCTCCATTAACATACACAAAATATTTATACAGTTGACAGCTGACTGACTTCTCGATTATTATCTATAAGAGTAGGACCCTGTGTGACTAACGATGAATTCGGCATAAATTTATCACTGAAAATAATACTAATGATGACAATATTTGTGAAAAACGTCAAGAAAATAAGGTTATTTTTGCCTGATAATGACTTTTCAAGGATATTAATCAAATATTTTTCAACTTATTAACACCAAGCCTTTCAAATCTAAGACTTGGACATTTTCTATATGTCTGAAATTAACCAAAATGACAAATAAAAGTAAATATTACTCACGTTATTTACTTGTATACGTTATTTACTTGTTAGTATACCACAACCACCTCGTCTCTCCTGTTATAGGTGTCAAACTGTTCAAAATTTACTTCCTCATTCATAAAACTTTGTACTACTCTATACATGGTGCATTGTGAATGATCCTCCATTGCTGAAATGATAAGAAATGTAATATATGCCAGTTCTATTAATAGATATACTGCACCTATCACATATTGAATATTATATATTAAAGTTATTATAGGGAATACCAACTTTTTTAGGGTTTGTCCCCTGATTTTGTTTAAAGTAGCTAAGTCTCTAACTCAATATCATTCAAAATCTTCAACATTGAAAACACAAATTATTTATCAATTTAAATCAACAATGATGTTGTGATTTTTCCGGGGAAAGATGGACTTCTAATATCTAATATTTAACTTAAGACAAAGTAAACATTTTACCATTGGTACACGAATCGTGTTCTATAATGCGTTTCAGCACCATTTGTAACGAGGGACTCGAAGAACTAGGCTAGACATGTAGACTGGTGACGCCATATTATTATCTAGAGAGCATGCGCAATAAATACTATCGATGTAGACAGGAAAAACCGAACCTAACTGATTAGAATTTACAGTAAAAACAGAAAAAATTGAACGTAAATCAGTTTATAAACATTCATATTTATTTTTTATCCTTTTGACATCTATACATTTTTGAAGTAATGTTTCTGATAGATATTTTCACTTTTAACATGAACCTATGTATTTTATGTTTCATATTCTTATAAATATATATATGTATATTGCTATTTATTTTTTGTCATGTTACTTATGTCATGTATATGAATTGTATGCGGCCTGAAATGGGTGTTATGAAACAATAAAATCTTATCTTATCTTATCTTATTACATTATTATATGCGATGCGGCCCTTTAATCACTCCCTGTAATAACAAGGATGTAATTAATATACTTGGCTACAGTCTTTCATGTTTATAAAATTATGTGGGAGCCATAACAAGCTCCTGCCAGTTTCAAAAATGAGAAAAAATCTCCAATAAAATCACTTTGTAATTATATATTGCAAGAGTAATTCTACTTGAATTAAGGAGAGCCAAATTGTATTTATGTTTTAGTCTTGTTTAATATTTGGTGAATATGTTTGGTAAATATGGTAGGGTCAAAATTATCATCATGAAAACTTCTAGCTCGAACATATGCAGTTTAAAATAAACAAAAACCGAAAGTAGTTTATTAATCTCACTATTTTGGAGAGCGATTTAGCTAATTTGCAGGAGTCTTTAATAACTCCTGTGAAGGAAAGTCGAGGTGCGTGAGAGGAGCTGGAATGAAATCGCACCTTAAACGTGAAGGACTAACAATACCAGAGAAATAAGCTATCTACACCTCTCACACTTACCTAAAGAAGACAAAGGAATGGAGTTAAAGATACATCATGTAATGAAATGAAATGAGGTTTAACGTCGACTGTTCTGCTCCGACTGGGCTAATGAAGACGGGCATGCATACGCCATACAGTGTGCTATGAGGGAAATTTTGCCCGGCCAGCAGCACTATCGCCTACTCTTATATCGAATTCCAACTGCCAAGGGATCTTTTACGTGCACGCCAATGTATACACGGGACCTCGGTTTTTCATCTCATCCGAAGGACTAGACAGCTGTCCTTGTCAGGCCCTTCATTCTGCACCACTGACAAGGGGAAACCACGTCGGAAAATCGGGATGAACTTTCTCAGCCAATGCAGGGATCGAACACCCGACCTCCAGGCTAGCGAGCCAGCGTCTTAACCACCTAGCCACCTAGGCCATATTCTCGGGGTGAAAATCTTGTCACCTTCGCTCCCGCTAAACCGGTCTACAAATCGGACTATCAATAATCGTGCAATCAATATGTCAACAAAGTTCTCCAATAAAATCTGCCAATTTAATAGTTCAAGCTCGAAATAGGCTATAAATCGATGACTTATTTCTTTATAGTGCAGAGCCATATTTGCGTACAAGTGAGTTGGATCCTGCGCATCTATAGTGCATCTATAGTGCGGGGTTGCGGTCAAAAATTCTGGGGTCAAGTGCCAGGTCATAGCATTTGTAAACAAAGCCATGCGAACGATTTACCTTGCAAATCGCTCGCGGTTGGGACGAACAGAGATCAAATGAACCCCAAAAACGTCCCATCCATGTAGAGAAGTAGTGTATGAGAGCCACAAAAGGTATTTTGATCACACTGACATAAAAAGGTGGCAGTCAGTCAGGTTTTTTCGACACTGATTAAGGATATTGGACCGGTCTGTTTCACTAGAAAAATGCCTTAATATCAAGGGAGATCACAGACAATGCAACAAGGTCGCTGCTTCTATAAGTGTAATTCTAATAAAATCATTCATTTTACATAACAAAATACTTAAAACCTGTCTAGCCTGCTGTCTTGATAATGATCATGGATAGGCTAGTGTATAGCTAAGATTAAGAATGAAAAAACATATTTTGAAATAAAGGTTGAAAACTTAAAAAGTTGCAGAAATATTAAGAAGAAATGCTTAAATAATTTGAACTAGCTCAGAATTGTCAGGGAAAAGCCCATATGGACAAAATAAAATTTTGCATCTACAATGTATAAGCTTACAATAGATATATGAATTCAAAATGGGTTTTGTCTGCAATTGCGAATGAACCAGATGCCCCCCCCCCCCCATCAATATGGGGCTCACCTACGACATAGTTTACATGTAATCATCGATAAAAGTGCCAAACACACTTTCAATGTTGGAATCTTGCTTCTGATTAATAAATATTCTGATTTTTTTAAACAATTATAACAGATACTGTACATGTAATCGATCAAATCCAAAACTAATTACCTTTGATTTGAAAAATATTTTTGATCACCTAAGATAAATAAAATACAATTTAATGGAGGATTTACACTAAGAGTAAGACACTAACTCATTTAGTAGTTAGAATAAGGCTACCGGTACTTGTTTCACTGGACTTATCAAAACAGCAAAAGTGTTATTGGTGCTTTAAATAAAATAATGAAAATGCTGTTTTTATTTCGCACTGGACTAAATTGTCCCTCTTTTGTATGGCCCCCGCTCGAACATACTTGGATTTTTTCTTGCAAATTATACAGCTCTCTGATAAAACTGACTTCTTTAACTCTGATGAAGTAGTAACAAGTACTGCACCATGATGTGATTCCTTTGGTGATATTAATGAAGGAGTAGGGGTGAATGAGACACACTTTTAGTTTTTAAATTTGTTGAAGTACTAGGCCTAGTAGTAGGGGTTATGGACATAAAGGCCCTAAACCAAAATCGCTCAAGTATTTGGTCATAACGGTCAAACATTTTGGTCAAAACTACATAACGGTCAAAACATTAGGGTCATAATGGCCAAAAAGAACATTTGAATTTTGATATATTATGTATCAAATGATATTTATTAATATAAATATTGCATAATATAAATACCAATATTTCTTAATAGATAATATTTTCATATACATTTCTTTAATACATAAATTTAAAAACACTGTAGACATTTAATACTTAATACACTGTATAACTATAACATACATAATTTACAAAGACATCTATTTAATATGGAGGGTGGGTGGCGAATGGTTTAACATGTACACATGAAATCATAAGGTCTGTCATTGCGTCAATGACTTAATTTCAATTCTCTGCTTGTACTTGACAAGGACTAGGGTTACTTGTTCAACCTTGTGAGTTTTCTCCGAGTCCCCCAGTTTCCTTCCTCTGCTACAGACCCTTACATGCAAGCAAATTATTTAAATAAAAAGGAACCGTGTTGACTGGACATTAATGTTCAGCTCATGTTACTTTATCAGTGGGGTGTGAAAGACTTAATTAGGGATTATCAAAAACTTTGATTAATCCCCTCTTTCCTTTGAATCACAGCATGCAATGTTCTGGGTTGACTTGGATGGTTATATTCAATTCTTTCATTCACAAATTTTTTCTGGACTTATGGTCTGTAGCCTATATATGATGCACCTTTATTTATTACATTTATTTATTACTTCTACTAGTTGGAATAGAAGTGGTCATATCTTGTTGAAGGTTTGGTGAAACCGTGTTTAAAATATTATGTTATGAGTGAATTGCTATTTTTGTCGAATGATTAATATACTAATAATAAGTTGTTAAATAATGTTTGGTAAAATATATTATGACCATATCACAGTAATACACTAATAATAGTCTGTATGTATGTCGTGACAGTTTAGTTTCGGTTGGACATTACAACAAACGAATATCTCTATATATGAACTATACACTGACAAAATTTCTTCTAGACCGGATTTGTAGGAACGAAAATATTTTTGCAACGCCTAACCGTGGCTCCCGAAGGTACATTATGGGAGATTAGATAATGTAAAAGGAATTTGCTGAAAATTTCAGTCAAATTGATCCATGAACCAAGAATTTAGCGATTGCATTTTAGGCATAGCCTCAATCATCATTACTAAAGTTGGTACGATAAAAAACATAGTCTCGATTATCCATTTTTTTATTTAATTATCAATGAGCATTGAGCAGCAGATCGGATTCTAATCCAGTAAATATCGTAGGTTAGCAATGGCATCGAGAGTTGATTATGATCTGGATAAGTTAATTAATGTCTAATTAATAATTTAGATAACATTTCAGGCCTAAAAAGACCTGCAATAAGCAGATTTAGTTCTTGCATAATATATGTTTAATTGTCTACTGGTACAATTTTATTTCAATAATTCACCTGTGTATAAATCAGGAGTCATTAACCAAGAGGTTGGGCAACCTTGGAGGAATCAAAACCATGCTACTTGACTCAATGATCCATTTCTCTTTCTTTTCTGAATGTTTGTTTAGAATTATTTGTAATATGGGCCTCCCTTGTTGCATTGAATAAGGTAGACTTGTATGCACTCTTTAAACCAAACAATACTAAACATTATATAAATATTATTACATATCTATCTATACAGTGTATACAGTACACTATAGAATATATATGTATATACTATATGTACGTATAGATATGCATACACTATACAGTATAAATGAAATGAAATGAAATGGGGTTTAACGTCCTACTGTTCTGCTCTGAACTGGGCTAAT